GTCATGCCTTGGTTTTTGAACAGCCTAGTTCTCAAAGGTTTTGGCTCCTGAACGATCGAAACTCGGAAGTGACTTTTCTGGTTTCCGAATGTTCTTTCGGAAGCCAAACATCTGATGGGGCTTCCATGGCTTCCGATTGGCTGCAGGAGTTTCCTGCAGCCAATCAGAAGTTGTGCTTTGGTTTTTGAATGCTTTGGAAGTCGAATGGACTTCCGGAACAGATTCCGTTCGACTTCCAAGGTACGACTGTAAAGCTATTCCACACTTTACCTACCTCTTTTGGATTCTATATGTACCAAGCATGTAATAGGTATGTGTATATTTGACAAAATCTTGTTGTGCACATACAGTGGTACCTCGGGTTAAGTACTTAATTCGTTCCAGAGGTCCGTTCTTAACCTGAAACTGTTCTTAAGCTGAAGCACCACTTTAGCTAATGGGGCCTCCTGCTGCCGCCGCACCACCAGAGCACGATTTCTGTTCTCATCTTGAAGCAAAGTTATTAATCTGCAGCACTATTTATGGGTTAGTGGAGTGTGTAACCTGAAGCATATGTAACCTGAAGCGTATGTAACCCGAGGTACCACTGTATTCAATATATGAGAGGTCCTTATTGCTTGATATTGCTAGTATGGCAGCAGACCTTAGGAAAACTACATTTCCCAAGGGCTGTTCATGGGCTTGCATCCTGGTATACTGCTTTGCAGCATGCATGGCACAAGACATGTGCATTGGTGTGGGCAGACAGAGACATCCAACCAGAGCCAGTGTGGTGTAGTGGTTAAGAGGGGTGGACTCGTAATCTGGTGAACTGGGTTCGCTTCCCCGCTCCTCCACATGCAGCTGCTGGGTGACCTTGGGCTAGTCACACTTCTCTGAAGTCTCTCAACCCCACTCACCTCACAAAGTGTTTGTTGTGGGGGAGGAAGGGAAAGGAGAATGTTAGCTGCTTTGAGACTCCTTCGGGTAATGATAAAGCGGGATATCAAATCCAAACCCTTCCCATTTCCTTTAGGATGATCACTTCCTGTTAAGGTTGGACAGAGGTGATTTAGGGGATCAGCAAGAGAGAGGAGGCAGAAAGGGACTGGGTAGATGGGTGGAAACCCACAGGGATGAAGATGAGTAAGCCTTTGGTTTGCTTTGAAAATAAGATTCGCAATCTCCTGCGTTTTTGGCTTATTTCTGAAACAGTCTTGCTCAAGCCACTGGAGGGCATCCCACTCCTCCCTGGAAGTCAGCGGGTAAATTTAGCCAGGTAAAAGCAAATGATATCAGTTCCCAGATGAGCAAGAGCCACTTTGCAAAACTTAAAGCTGCTCTGAGGAGGCCAGTTTATGTAAAAGGTAAATGACCCCTGGATGGTTAAGTCCATTCAAAGGCAACTATGGGATCTGCAGTGCTCATCTCGCTTTCAGGCCGAGGGAGCTGGTGTTTGTCCACAGACAGCTTTCCGGGTCATGTGGCCAGCATGACTAACCTGCTTCTGGCACAAGGGAACACTGTGAGAAAAACCAGAGCGCACAGAAACGCCATTTACCTTCCTTCTACCGCAATACCACAGTGGAATGCTTTCGAACTGCTAGGCTGGCAGGAGCTGGAACTGAGCAACGGGAGCTCACGCTATCGTGGGGATTTGAACCGCCAATATTCTGATCAGCAAGCCCAAGAGGCTCAGTGGTTTAGACCACAGCACCACCCGCATTTATATAGCTCCACATGACAACTGGTTCCATACACTGCATCTCACCCAATGGGAAGGTGATTTTCTCCAAGCCGGGGGCGTGTGGTTTTCAGTGAGGTGCTCTCCTCCACCCCTCCACCTCCCACTAATGCAACCAGACAAGCCCACTCCGACTTGGGAAGGACTACAACCCTTCAGAAAATGACAAGATAGGAGAGTGAATCACCAATGTCCAGTAACAGATCACCTTCTCTGGAGTAAAGGACAAAAAACACACAAGCATTGACATGAAATGAGACAGCCTGGCTTCTACATCCTGTACCATAATGACAAATCTATAACTTTCCCTTCACCCTTGACCCTAATAGCAGTAAGTCAGGAAATGAAATTTGCAAATCTTGTATTGCTGCACTTCTCTCTCTCTCTCTCTCTCTCTCTCTCTCTCTCTCTCTCTCTCTCTGTGTGTGTGTTTTAACCACATATTTCCCAGTAGCATGTTTTCACAGTTCTGAAACACTGTCAGGATTTTTTTTTAATTATTATTTTTTTTTTTTAATAAAACTGCCTCAAGAGCAGTTTAATTCTTTCCTGGAAGCTGCTGGCATGAACTTGAGGATAAATGTGTGAAGGCAATTCAGTATTTGGTCAGCATGCTTCAAAGGTCCCTGTGAATCACCTGCAACGTGATTGCTAAATTAGATGAAAAAGCAGGAGATCTGCAGATGATTTCTCCCATATCCATGGATCCATACCCTAGGCTCACCAAAAGTAGGTCACCCTTTTCCCGGTGCCTCCTCAATTACAAGCTCAGAGGTTAGTTATGAAGAAGAGGTCTCTGCCCCCAAACTGGAATGCTCTTCTGAGATGGCTTAGTCTCACACCCACCCAAATGGCTTTTTGGCGCCATGCAAAGTCTTTAACTATCCTCCCAAGCCTTCTAGTGTTCCTTTCCCATGTTGTAGCATGGTTTAAAATGGTAAACACTGTATGATAATGGCAGCTAATGGATTGAGGTTGAATCCTGACAAGACAGAAGCACTGTTCTTGGGGGACAGGGAGCGGGCGGGTGTGGAGGACTCCCTGGTCCTGAATGGGGTAACTGTGCCCCTGAAGGACCAGGTGCGCAGCCTGGGAATCATTTTGAACTCACAGCTGTCCAAGGAGGTGCAGGTCAATTCTGTGTCCAGGGCAGCTGTTTACCATCTGCATCTGGTATGCAGGCTGAGACCCCCCTGCCCACGGACTGTCTCGCCAGAGTGGTGCATGCTCTGGTTATCTCCCACTTGGACTACTGCAATGCGCTCTACGTGAGGCTACCTTTGAAGGTGACCCGGAAACAACAACTAATCCAGAATGCAGCAGCTAGACTGGTGCCTGGGAGTGGCCGCCAAGACCATATAACTCCGGTCTTGAAAGACCTACATTGGCTCCCAGTGTGTTTCCAAGCACAATTCAAAGTGTTGGTGTTGACATTTAAAGCCCTAAACGGCCTCGGTCAGGTATACCTGAAGGAGCGTCTCCACCCCCATCGTTCTGCCTGAACACTGAGGTCCAGCGCCGAGGGTCTTCTGGTGGTTCCCTCACTGCGAGAAACAAAGCTACAGGGACTACCTGACATTTAGAAGACATCTGAAGGCAGCCCTGTTCAGGGACGTTTTTAATGTGTGACATTTTAAAGTATTTTTAATCTTTGCTGGAAGCCGCCCAGAGTAGCTGGGGAAGGCTAGCCAGATGGGCGGGGTACAAATAATTTGTTGTTGTTGTTGTTGTTGTTGTTGAAAGTTTCTCTGATTTTTATTTCTTATTGTATATTCATTTATATTGCATGTCAGTATTCTGTTGTTAGCCACCCTGGGAATATTTGCTGATGGCCAGCTAGGAGAATCTATCCACATTTACTGTGCAACTACTGGATTGCTTAGCACACAGATAGCACACAGAGCAATCAAGAGCCATGAGATGTTCGCCAGAGAATTCAATGGGATGTGGCCACTGGCTGCAAAAGGAGGTGAGCAGTTTTCCTGCAAGAAACTGAGTCCTGCCCCTAGCCTTTTTCGTGAAAGGGGGATTGATTTCCATTTAGGTTTCCATAAGCTTATTTATTAGATCAAATTGAGAATTAATGCCATTCACCCACTGCCACCAGACAATTACACAAGCTTTAATGTGTTGCATCTTTCAAGTCTCAGGGCTGAATTGAATTAACAGGAGGATATTCAATTTGTCGCAGCACTCTCATATCATTGTTGTTTTGTTATTTCAGAAGTCCTTCTCATGCCTAGTACTAAGAAGGAATTAGCAAATCTGAGAAGGAATATTCTTAATTTATGTAAACCAGTATTATGCCTATTGGGGTCCGAGAGAAAGTATTGTTAAATTCTTTTGTATGCTGGCAATTCATGCTTAGTTTCCATCACATTCGGAATTATTTACTTTGTGATACAACCGTGAAACCCTATCATTTAAAAATAAATATGAATAAAAATCTATCTGTGGTTTGAAATCCAACTGTTTAGACTTCCTTTTCTATAGTGGAACTACAGTGGACATTATGCAAAGCTAAGTGAGAGCAACAATGTTTGTAATTTTCTATAATGATCTCCCACTCCTGAAAATCTCTTCCCCATCTTTCCCTGAACTGCTTTATTGAAATCAGCCCTGAATGCTCACTGGAAGGACAGAATCTCAGGCTCCAGTACTTTGGCCACCTCATGAGAAGAGAAGACTCCCAGGAAAAGACCCTGATACTGGGAAAGGTGGAGGGTGCAAGGAGAAGGGGACAACAGAGGACGAGATGGTGGGACAGTGTTCTCGAAGCTACCAGCATGAGTTGGACCAAACTGTGGGAGGCAGTGGAAGACAGGAGTGCCTGGCGTGCTCTGGTCCGTGGGGTCACGAAGAGTTGGACACGACTAAACAACAACAACAACAACAAATATAGCTGCAGCTGCAAGGGCTGGGGAGAATAGCAGCGTAGCATCACAGCACAACTAACTTCTGCTGTCAAGGGGAAAAAGGGAAGGGCAGACAGCAGGGACTGAAACAATAGCCTGGGAGGAGGCAAAGGCGGGTCAATAACGCAGGAGTACTGAATAACATTTAGGTAGCAGGAAGAGGAGCAGGTGGTCCAATAGATATCTATTACAAATCCACATTTAAAGCATGAAATGCTTGCTGCTGCATACACCTGCAATAAAACACCTGTCTGCAGGTTCCCTTGGGGGCAAAGACAGCCATGCTTATGAGGCCTGGGAGCACATGGTCAAGAATAGATACGGCAAGCAACAAGTGGCCCAACCATTTCAGGAAACTCCATTTCTAGCTCAGTCGGTAAAAGCATGAGGCTCTTAATCTCAGGCTTTTGGGTTTTAAGCCCCACACTGGACAAAAGATTCCTGCATTGCATGGGACTGGACTAGATGGCACTCACGGTCCCTTCCAACCATTCTCTGATTCTGTGAGTAAGTGACAAGGTAAAGGGTAAAGGGACCCCTGACCATTAGGTCCAGTCGCGGACAACTCTGGGGTTGCTCGTTCATCTCGCTTTACTAGCCAAGGGAGCCGGTGTACAGCTTCTGGGTCATGTGGCCAACATGACTAAGCCGCTTCTGGCAAACCAGAGCAGCGCCCGGAAACGCCGTTTCCTTCCCGCCAGAGCAGTACCTATTTATCTACTAGCACTTTGACATGCTTTCAAACTGCTAGGTTGGCAGGAGCAGGGACTGAGCAACGGAAGCTCACCCCATCGCGGGGATTCGAACCGCTGACCTTCTGATCAGCAAGTCCTAGGCTCTGTGGTTTAACCCACAGCGCTACCCACATTCCATTGCAGCTGTATAGTCCTAGGCTCTGTGGTTTAACTGGTTTAACCCATAGCGCCACCCGCGTCCCTAAGGACCTGTATAATTAGGAAAAGAGATGAGACTTCCCAGAAATGAAGGCAGGAAAAGGGGAAGCAGGGGGCAAAGGAAATAAAAGAGGGATGACGCTACTGAAAAAAGGAAGGTGGAAGTGACCCTTAGCTGCAGCCCATCTTTAACTCTAGATATTGCCATCATTTGGTGGACTAAATGCAGAGTCTCTCTCTCTCTCTCTCTCTCTCACACACACACACACACACACACACGGGATCAAGGCCAGACAAAGTGATCTGGGGTGCTAAATTCTAAAGACAGGTATTTCAGCTGGCTGCACAACTTTGCTTAAGATAAAAGGGGTCACATCTGTTGGTAATAAAGCATACCTTTTGTTGGGCAGATGATAAGAATGGGCAATTTTTCACAGAGCTGAAACAGAGATGTACAGTTCTCCTTCGATAGCTCATTTCCTCCCCTTGCCCCCTCTATTAAATTGCATTATATGCATCAACCCTCAGCCTTTGGGTAAATTTAAAGCATGACCTTGAAATGCTGCTGTAGTTCTTCGTTCTGTTTCCCCCTGCCGCTATTTTTACAACTCCCTTGGTAAATTTCTTATCTGCTACGCTGTCTTAAACTGGCACCCTTTCAGCAAAGCTTTCTTCAGTTCCATGTTGTCAAATCCAGACTGGAGCCTGAAATGTCTAGCCAGACTACAGAGTCACCGAGGAGAAAAAAACAAAGCAAAAAACCTCCCTTCCTTCCAAATCCAACTCTTACGAGAAATTAAGAGTGCTCTGTTTGGAAGGCAGGAAGGAGATCAGAAAGCTTCATACAGCACAAGAGAAAAGTTTGAGCAATACAATGAAGTGCTTGGGAAAGTTGTCAGAGGAGCCATTTTTTTCTGCACCTGACATGCATTTGGTTGCAAGAATCGCCAAACCTGTTGCTTTGGAAAAGTAGAAAAAAATGGCTCAGTGCAACCCAGTAAGTTTCTGTTAGACTGCCAGCTGGAGCCCTCTGGAACTGGATAATAACACCAAAGGGGAAAGCCCTTATCTGTAAATTCCTCCTTATCTGAGCTGCAATGAGTGGATTTATTCACCAGTGCTGAATATTTCTGACACAAAATTCGAGGCTCAAAGTTTACCATTTTTGCACCTGTTTGCTGGTATTCACAGCCCATCTTGGCTGTTGCTTTCATGCTATTTTACTGCCCCCTCCTTGTTCCTGTTGCTGTGATCCCACAACCAGACAGGCGTGAAGTTGTGAACATTCATGATTCTCTGCTCTGGAAATGAAAAGTGCAAGTTTCCTGAACAGGCAGCAGGTTTGTGAATCTTCCCTTTTTAAAAACAGAGGCAAGACTCTAGCCAATGAGCCAAGTACTTTCAAGTTCCCTTTTATTTGTATCTGCCTCAGTGGATTGCCCTGTTCTGTTATTTGGTTTTGCTTATGAGGATTAAATCAGAATAACAATACAGAACTATGTACAGTGGTACCTCGGGTTACATACACTTCAGGTTACATATGCTTCGGGTTACACTCTCCACTAAGCCAGAAATTGTGCTTCAGGTTAAGAACTTTGCTTCAGGATAAGAACAGAAATTGGGCTCTGGCGGTGCGGCAGCAGCAGGAGGCCCCATTAGTTAAAGTGGTGCTTCAGGTTAAGAACAATTTCAGGTTAAGTACGGACCTCCAGAACGAATTAAGTACTTAACCCGAGGTACCACTGTAAATTATATAGATCACTCTTTTGGACTCAATTCTAGCCAAAGGATCTGAAAAAGTCGCAAGAGCTCATCACGCAGACCAGAGTATTACTACCCCTATGTTATGGGTAATATTTGCTGCTAATTATTGTGCAGGACTGAATATTTCTTTTTCAGACCTTTTTTGGCAGGTACAAAATATTTAAGTTCATAAGCGCTCAACGGTCAAATATTAAATACCATTGCATGAAATCTGACAAATGCCATCAGCCACTAAATACAATTGCATGTCCAATATTAATACAAATTAAATACAAATATTAAACACAATATTAAAGGGATGTGGGTGGCACTGTGGTCTAAATCACCATGCCTTTTGAGCTTGCCAATTGCAAGGTTGGCAGTCAAGTCTATGCGATGGGGTGAGCTCCCGTTGCTTTGTCCCAGCTCCTGCTAAACTAGCAGTTCAAAAGCACACCAATGTGCTTAGATAAATGGGTACTGCTGTGGCGGGAAAGTAAATGGCATTTCCGTGCCCTCTGGTACTTGTCACGGTTTTTTGTGCGCCAGAAGCAGTTTAGTCATGCTGGCCTCGTGACCTGCAAAAGCTGTCTGTGGAAAAATGCCTGCTCCCTTGGCATGAAAGTGGAAATGAGTGCCACACCCCATAGCAAAATTTGACTGGACTTAACCATTGAGGGATCCTTTGCCTTTACCTTACAATGTACAATACAAAATTGAAATTGAAACGTGTTCTGGTGATCAAATGGTGATAGTTTCATATTTGACTCACACGTGTTCAGCAGCTGTTGCTATGCAATAAAACCATATAATGATTTATCCTCTAAAGGTCGGGGAGTATAAATGTAAACTACTATTATTAGCAGTATTCTTGTTATTATTATTTTTATGTGTGTAATGGCTGCTCGCTAAACACAATAAATCAAGCTGAAGTGAATGTTAATGCAATTGCAAGCTGATTGTGGAAAGGCAATGTCACAACAGCTGTAGGGTGAATTGTGTGATTTAGTGCCCCCGACCCAAAAACATAACATGTTAATAGAAAAAAGCATACCATGGAGAAGGCTAGGCCAAGGCTTTCCACTTGACATGCTAGTTTTCTAGATTTTTTAAAAAGATAAAGCAAATATTCTTCCACCTGCCTAAAGTTCATTATGGGATAGCTCAATCAGTACAGCATGAGTCTCTTAATCTCAGAGTCATGGGCCTGAGGCCCACATTGCGTGAAAGATTCCTGCATTGCAGGAGATTGGACTAGATGAGCCTCTGCTTATAGAGATGGGAGACACAGAGGCATACCAACAAACGAACGTGTTTGCATTAGGGGATGTCCTGAAGTAGAGGACCTTATGCATTATATCTTGCACTGCCCCTTACACAATGAAGCAAGAGAAAGATTTTTATCACCTACAATGACAAGGTCCGCTGGCCAGAACCCCTCTGACATGATTTTATATCTCCTCGCAGACACAGATAAGTACAGTGGTACCTCGGGTTAAGTAGTTAATTCGTTCCGGAGGTCTGTACTTAACCTGAAACTGTTCTTAACCTGAAGCACCACTTTAGCTAATGGGGCCTCCTGCTGCTGCCACGCCGCCGGAGCACGATTTCTGTTCTCAACCTGAAGCAAAGTTCTTAACCTGAAGCACTAGTTTTGGATTAGCAGAGTCTGTAACCTGAAGCGTATGTAACCCGAGGTACCACTGTATGTGACCTGGCGTGTAGCACTCTTTGCAACTGCCACTAGGAAAATTAGAGCAAATTATATAGCCAAGGTAGCCACCAACTGTAAAGGAGATGAATTTATCTGACCCTATCTACATCAAGCTATATTCTATCTTTATTACCAAACTCCAAATATAATTGCACACTGTATTAATTAACATTATTTTTAATGTATTAGTGGCCATGTGATAATTTTAGCTTATAAATTTTATTGTTTAATGTCTTAATTTGTATATTAAGATACTTTTATAGCTTGGTTTAGAGTAGGTAATGTCTTGATAACATAAATGTTTTAAGTTTTTTGTATCAGTCCAGTATATTTTCTTTTAATTGTTGAATGATTCTGTGTACATTGCGGCAGCCTTTGGCTATGTGCAATAAAACAGACTGACTGACTGACTGACTGACTAGATGAACCATCAGGGGTCCCTTCCAACCCTACAATTCTATGATGCCAAAACAGCATCCTACAACTGTTGCCACTTGCCTACGTTACCCTCTTAACAAAAGTGGGCTAGTAGTTTCACTCTCCCTTTTGTTCCTCACTCCACCCCAAATTTTGGTCAACATGGTCATTTGAGGATTTTCTTTTTTTTTTTTTTAATAATTTTTATTAAAGTTTCAAAGAAAGAAAAAGAAAAAAGAAAAAAGAAAAACTTCAAAAAAAGATACAAAAATACACAATACACAAATACACAATACAAATCTCAAAAAGAAAATAAGAAAAAACACAAAAGACAAGAATCAACAATAAAAAAAAAGTATAACAATTAAAAACAATATCTCTTTTCCATTTCCATTTTTAAGTTTACTTATTTTCTGGACTTCCTCGTACCTCCCTCTTTTGTATTCCAATCCAAATTGTTTATCCAGCAATTTCTTTATCTTTAATTTTAATATAATATTAAAATATATAACTTCAACTTCTTTAATCCTAATCTTTAGTCTTAATGTAATGTAACATTAAAATTTTACCTCTTAATATCAAATTTCCATTTCATCAAACATCTTTAATCCTAATCTTTAGTCTTAGTCTATCATTAACCTTAACCTGTACAGCTGGAAACCGCTTA